AAAACTAGGATCAAGGTTCAACATGCATAGGATATATGAAAACAAATAGAATTTAGTGTTTCAACAACATAGATTAAGGTCCTCTAATCGATTGTAGTCTCAAAAGTTTAATAGCAAGGATCTGTTATGATAAATAGATATTGAGGAAGGATGAAGATTGAGTTCCTTTAAGGACAGTCAGATAATGGTTGTAGTTTTCAAGACCACCAAAGGGTCATTCGTGAGTCTTGATGCACAACAAGGGATGATGACAAGAGCGATTCAACATCAAAATCCCAGTAGTTGGGTAATGTCTCTACGTTTCGTGAGCAGGCATAAGGACAAAGTGCATGAACAATAGTGATACATTAATGAAGGAAAAGTAGTTAGAGCACTAAATAAAGGTTATTAGTGATCTAGTGCTCATTATAATTTAGTAGGTTAGAGGATAAGAGACTTTTATAATGAGTCTGTCACTAGTATTATAGTATTGGTCCCAAAGTTTACGAGCCGGTAAACCTGTTACAATGGTTTTAGTTAATTTTTAGGATGTTTGAACACCTAAACTAGGTAGAGAAACCACTGTCAATCTAGATTCGTGTGTGTTTTAAAGGTATATCGTAGAAAGTTTTCAAAGAACATAAAGTAAGAACGATATACCATAAGCCTTTTAGAGGCACGTTATGGAAAATGGATTCCATTAGGAGATCGTTTCCCTAGTTAATCGCTTTATAAAGAGTCGATTGTGTCGACATTTTATGTCTGAAGGAGATCTTCAATCGTATCAAGTAATTTATGGAAGTCCAAACCGACGAATTCCCGATTTGGAAAATTTTGCGAGGAATTCAAGAGTACGTCTACAACATAAAACAAAGTTCTACGGCTAAATAATTACAGATAGGAGAATTCGATGCAACAATGTTAGCTAAGATCACAAATTGATCTTGATGACTCCAACAAGGTGATGTCTAGGAGCGCATGGAGCAGGATTTCAAGTAGGGGTGTTAATCAGGTAATTTTTCAGGTTTCAGGTAATTCGTGTTTGGGTAATTCGGGTAGTGGGACGGGTTTGGATAATTCGTGCATTACCTGCAATATATAATTTGTTAATGAGACCTAAAAATAAATTTAATGAAATAAATATATCGTGCTCTATTAGTCTTGTTTATATAAACAAACAAGGCATAAACGAAATTACTCAAACTTTGAACATTGAGATTTTTTAGTCAATAATAGTTGAGATATCAAGTAATCTTTTAACAACTTAATCTAATCTAATAAGATGTTAAAAAGACAAATACTTAAAGATCTTAGTTTAAAAGTTTAAAATGTTTAAGACAATTGTAGCCATAAGTTTTTCCATATTCTAAAGTTTCGTCAAGATAATGAGTTTATTAGTTGCAATAAAAACTATAATCTAGAAAACAGTTAAGTTTTAAAGAACATGGTGGCATATAAACAATTGCTTTTAAAGTTGTTGGTGCCATACTACCATATAAAAGAGATTATCCCGACGTGATTAACCCAATACCCGAAAAAATCGAGCGCGTAATTCGGTTATCGGGTATTTTCGACATGGCTAATTTCAATGACAAAATCTTTCTAAGTCATAGAGAGTTGTAACACCCTATTTTCGAATTCCAATAGAATTCAATATAAACCATTATTTATAAATATTGAAGTAGATATATCTTACTTTTTAGCTAAATTAATGATCATACACATGTAGAAAACATCAATACGATTTCCATAGATATATATAGAACGCCCAAATCCAACTTTGTATGAAGAAGTTATGCTTCTTCGAAGTTTTGCGATTAAACCAAAAAAGCTATGTGCATCGTAAAATATGAATCAGGGATAGATTACTTATTAGCCTTAGTGATCTAAACAAAATTCATAAGAATCGTAAAACTGAGAGCGTGCATGTAGAGTAAGTCCAAATATAACTTCATAAGAGGAAATTATGATTTTTAGAAGTTGTAGCATAGCAGCGTGCGACATAGAAACCAAAGTTAAGATGGGTTGATTATTAGGAAAAACAATATTAAAGAGAGTTGAAGATCTCATCAATACCTATCTGACGATATAAATACATTCAAGAAAGGATACCATATGAGAGAGTTATGATTTTTATACAAACTTTAATAGTCAAAGCCTATTAAAAAAATATAACTTTAAATATAAATTGAGAATTATCTGATGAAGTCTCAAGGAAATTCGTAGCTCTCATCGGTATCTACGCGTGGATATAAAGAACGTCGAAAACAGAGCTCGTATGAACATGTTACAGAATTTACCAAATCTATGTTTTACGCGGTGCGTCGGGAATGCGAAGCATGCTTCCAGAAGGTGGCAACGTGGGCCACAGAGAAGACGAAACGTGGACCAAAAATGGATGGGGGGATGTCGCATTAAGCTTGCCACATGTACCCCTAAAATCTACCAATAAATAGCATTTAACCACCCATTCACTTCTACACACTCTTTCGGTCTGAAAATTTGTAGTATCTAGAATATGTTAGCGAAGCTTTGGAGTCTTTGAGATCCAACCAGATAGAGGTATTCGGGTCGGAGTTTTGTCCACGACTGTCCGCACTTTTTTCAGGAAAATCTCTGTAAGTTAAGCTATACATATCGCTTTAAGTGTAACTTATATTTATGTTCATAGTCATTGTTATGAATGTATAAATAAGATTTATCAATGATTTCAATCATAATGCTGACTAACCTACTTATGGAGAGGTGTCTAGAATGGTCATGTTGGTATGGTTTGTATGGTTGGGATTTACGACCCTAATTTTTATTAATCTAAAATACTGAAATTTATCATATGACGGATCTTTGTGATTTCAAAAAGTAATATATATATATATATATATATATATATATATATATATATAAAATAAAGGCACAATGTTCTTATGAATAGCGCATGTGGGTTTTTTTTTTTTTTTTTTTTTTTTTTTTTTTTTATCATTTTCAAATTCTCGAAGTACAAAAGGTGACCATTGTTCTAGTTACTTCTAGTGGACTTCTTGCTCTGGGTTTACTACTTCCTCTCTACCACCATCGCCTCTCCTCTTCTAACTCACAACTCCGCCTCCCTCCTAAGTACTTCCTTTCTCATCATTTACTTCATTCGTCGGACTCTTCGTCGATTTTGCGCCAACTGACTCCCTGTTGATGTAACGTCGACCGAAATGCTTCGCAATCTGTAATCCCCATTCAATTTCTCAAATTTTTGTCTTCCCCGATTTAGGGTTCGACACATACAGCACCGTCAATTTGTGATTATCAGGTTTGTCTCTACAATCGTCCCTCCTCTTCTTAGGGTTGGGATATACGACCCTAATTTTTATTAATCTAAAAACCCAAAATTTATCATACAACGAATCTTCATGATTTCAAGAAATTATATATATATATATATATATATATATATATATATATATATATATATATATATATAATAAAATCATAATGTTCTTATGAATAGTGCATGTGGTAATTTTTTTTACCGTTTTCAATTTCTCGAAGTACAAAAAGGCAACCATTGTTCCAATTTCCTATGGTGGACTACTTGCACTGGGTTTACAACTTCCTCTCCACCACTATCTCCTCTCCTCTTCTAACTCACCGCTCCGCCTCCCACCTATGTTCTTCCTTTTGAAAGCTTTACTTCATTCGATGGCTTCGTCGATATTGCATCAACAGACTCTTCGTCGATATTTCATCGAGTGAAATGCTTCGCAGTATGAAATCCCCATTCTATTATCGATTTTGTGTCTTCCCAGATTTATGGTTCGACCTGTACAACATCGTAGATTTGCGATTGGAAGGTTTGTCTCTACAAACCTCCGTCCTCTTTTCAGGGTTCGGATTTATGGCCCTAGTTATTTTTAATATAAAAAATCAAGATTTATCATATGATGGATCTTCGTAATATCAAGAATTATATATATAATAAAAGTACAATGCTCTTATGAACAGTGCATGTAGTATTTTTTTTACCATTTTAAATTTATTGAAGTATAAAAAGGCGACCATTGTTCAAGTTTCTTCTGGTGGACTTCTTGCTCTGGGTTTACAGCTTCCTCTCCACTGTCATCGCTGATTAAAATACAACGCTCACTACAAGGTTCGAGCTTGTCGTGAGTCTCCACTACTAGAAAAACAGCCTTTTACGACGCTCATTGCGTGTCGTAAAAGGCTCAGACGACGCGCAAATGCGCGTCAAGGAAGGCCCTGTCATAAAGATAGACGACGCGCTTTTGCGCGTCGTATATAAACGACGCGCATTTACGACGCTCATTTACGATGCGCGTTTACGACACGCAATGCGTATCAAGAAAGGCCCTGTCGTAACCTGATGACGCGCGTGTTAATGACACGCGTTGCATATCAAGAAAGGCCATGTCATTAATGAAGATGACACACATTTTTGCGTATCATAATTTTAATGTTTAAAAAATATATTATTTATAGATTTACTTATTTTCAAATTAAATTTATATTTAATGTTTCATAATATAAAATAAAATATCATATACAAAAAATAGAATCCATTGCATAAATTTAATGTCATACAAATAATCGTTCGAACGACTAAGGGGATTCGATTGTACATTGTTATTAAGAAAATGGAAGTATATTGTTATAGTTAGAAAATAAATGAGAGTACAATGTGCTACGTTTGGTTCTTCTCATAAAGTTTCCATCTTCAAGATTGCTATCCAATAAGCTTTTAGTATTTGCATGTAGAAATTCCATTGCAAAATGCACACCTGAGAGCTCAGAGCTCACATCCAGGAACAGGGAGGTCCCGTGGCTTTGTTGCCCCCACTGCTAAAATAACTGCATCATTCTCTTCACGAAAGCGTTCAATTGAGTACACCGGATCGCTTCCTATTTCCAGGACAGAGGAAATGCAAATATTATTACAACTCATTGTTTACCAACAAAACAAACCATATGATTATGATTACCTACCTAGAAAAGTGGGCCCTAGCAATCCGGAATTAGGATTTTGTTCTTTCTCCAATTAGATTTAAGTCAAGTGTGGGACTACTGCTTGCAAGAATGAAATGTTGAGGGCAATAATGCTCAAGATCAGCATAAACTTGCTTTCCCTCCACTGCCTGCCAACACACCAAAACTTTTTAACCTAATTACTACATTTTGATTCAACTCATTTATAACATAAATAATGGGCCTAGCTTCCACCACAATTTCACCTCAATCAATGTGCTCTAAGGAAAGGGTTTTGACCTATAATATACTTTCACTCTTTTTTCGTACACAAATCCCTGAATATGTTTTTATTCGAAAACTATACGTATTTATTCAATAATTTGATTGGTAGCCAAGTCTTGAGGTTATTTTACACGGTTTTAATTAAAAAAGAAACAAAAGAGAGAATTGAAACACTAGAAAACTATAGGTATTTTTTTTCTTTCAAAAATGTGATTCTTGCTCAGGGTTATATTAAAAAAAATAACCTATATAATTTCACACTTGTCGCAAATAAGCCTCTGAAGAATAACTATTTGCATGAGCAAGTCCTTTAACTAAAAAATACCCCATTGCTTTTGTAGTGTCATGTGTTTGATACATATGATGCCACATGACATCGGTTTTTATTTTATCATTTGTATTCGACTACCAAGTTTCTGTTTGATACTTGTGTCACTAGCAATCTACTATGACAAAAACCTCAACATCCGGTAATCGTTAAAGTTTAGAAACATACCTACTTCTCATGTGTTCCAATTTAAGAAATTTACATCATGCAATTCTTTTTCAGGGACTTATCTGCCAAAACCCTTGTTGTAACAGATGAATTATATGGTTGGGACTCAGACTCACCTCTACAACTAAATCCACATGTTTGAAGCTATCATAACTGAGTACACCCTTCAACAGAGATACAGTTCTTTCAAGCTTCTCCTTGGTCATTTTCCCTGTCATAAGATGGCTGTGCAAATCGGCTGAAGATGAAGATAACCAAGTAAGAATTATGAGTTGTGACCATACTTTTTAAGCTCATATCATGACTCACCTTTGATTTCACCAAGTGCAGCCTCCAGAGAATTCTCATCATCCTCCTTAAATATTACAGGAAAGTTAGCAAGGATAAAAGCTATTGCTATTGCTATTGACCCCGGACCAATAGCACCAACTCTATTTACTTTCCTTGGCTGCAACCCCATATTAGTTATACCTGAAATCTATAACTGCTTTTAACAAGTCATGATCTCATCAACATTAACTGTTAGTATAAGAAAGGTTTCCAAACCATACTCCAAACTTTGGAAGTGTTATATCAAGCAAAGAAGTTGTGGACCAAACTTTTACAAGTTTCAGATTACCAAAGTTCATTCAAGGCCTCTGCTTCATGCCACCAGAATCATATATTTCAAAACTACCAACAAAAAAATATGAATAATAAATATTAGTTTCAACTTACAACTTACATAATATTTGTTGCTTTTATATTTGAAATAAAAGTAAATGAAAATATAAACAAGACATAAGTACTCACCATACTAGTATGTTGACAGAATCGTGATGCACTCAGTTGGCTAAACCATAAGAAAAATATAAAAATTATAATATGTATGAATTATGAAGAATGAAGGATTATATATTTTATGGTTTAAATTTGGTGTTATAAAAAAAAGGGGGGGGGGGGGGGGGAATATAGCATTACAAATATACCTTCACTTTGAGTGGGTAATTCCTCAAGCTTCTTTAGTGTCTCATCACCTTTAGTAACTTTACCAAATATCGTACACTAAGCAAGATATTTACCAAAAAAGTTAATAGATTTTTTTCCCAAATTTTTCATTTGCATCAATTCAAAGAAAGTCAACAACAGTCAAACCTGATGATGAAGGTGTGGAGCATCTCCAAGAAGCATTGAAAACGATAATTGAGCACTATTCGGATCTGAAAATCTAAAAAATAATTCAAGTAGCTACATCATTCCTTTAAAGGTGCAAATAATAAAAAGTAAATGCCATAATTGTAATTAACTTATAAAAATATAGGCATAATAATGTTAGTTACTTCATATGCACAAGACCTGGTGGTGGTTCGGTTGTGCTGTCAGATGAAGATTAAATGTGAGCAAAAATTAAGAATAAAAAAAGAATTTAGGATTATGTACCGACGATATGGTGAAGGGTGAACCCGGTTTTTTTGTGCTGCGACACAGGGGCTGATTAGTAATCCTGGTGTCCTCCAACTTCTATAAACAACATATAGATATGAAAGATTAATGCAAAGGTAAAAATTTACGAAAAAATTGCATTTTATGATTGTGTCATATTGCATAGTTCAATAAAAATAAAAATAAAAAGTTGTCATATATACTTTTATAATTTTATAATCATATAACATTGATATATAGTAATTATTTGAAGTGTGAATCCAAGACAAAAAGGGCCAAATGACAAAAAAAAAAGATGATATAATATAATTGCTTGTTGACGAAATAAAGCAAAGGTTTTATCATTTATGAATATTTTATGAATATTCTGTATAAATATAAATATACACCTTTTAATACACAAAAAATAATGCTATATTATACCAAAAAAAAATGCATGAATCCACTTGTCAATCAAACACAGAGTAGCAAAATAAATAAATATGAAATTAATTAAAGAAAAACAAACCTAGGAATCACGAGCATGTTTAACATCGGGAAGTTTGGAGAACATGGGCATGGCTCCCTTCCGATCAGGCACCTGTATGCTACAATCAATATCTTCAATCACAACAACAAATTAAAGAGTGGGGGCAGCATAAAACATACATCCTGAAACAGTAACACACATATTTTATAAATAAAAAAAGTATAAAGTTTTATGAGAAACAACTTGATCAAAGTGTTCAAGTATAGCTACAAGTTTTTGTTTTTCTTTTCTGTTAGACATGAGAACCTTTTAAAATATAAAGATGTTATCATATTAATAAGTTGCACTCCAACAAAGCTCCAAATGCAAAATCAATAACAAACTAGGCCCAAATAACCTTCAAAACAGCTCCAGGGGCAAAAATGTCATAAAATGCCAAGAGACAACAGGATGCAATGTATGAACTAGGAAATAAACACAAAATATTTGAAGCTAGCACCTGGAGAGGATATCCATAAATAGAAATATCCATGAAGCTTATCCAAGGAAAGATGTAACAGAGGCAAACACATATGCAGTATCAGAACTCCATCTTATTGTTTGATTAGAAGTAGAAGCATCAGTATCACGCCTCACATGGTTAGAATTTGGAATGAGAAGAACAAAAAAGATTTGGTGTCCACTAAAACGTATTTCAACATCTAGATGCAGCATTAGTTTCAAAAGTTCAAGAAGAAGATCATCAGGGAACACCTAGCATAAGAGAGATTTTAGAAAACTAAACTTTAATTTTGAAAAAAAAAGTTTGATGATTATGCTCACCTGTTGTGAATTTGAGGAAACAGATGCTACAACAATCATGTTTGCAAGAATGATCATTGATCCAGTAGTTTCCCTAGCAGCAATACTACTAGGTGGCAGTTTCTCAAGTGTTGTTGACATTACATCAAACAGTGAGCATGCATCAAGAATCTAGAAACAGCATAATACAAGTTTAAGTTAGATTTCTACAGAGAAAGTGCAAACCACAAGTCACTATAAAAATATATTATAATGAAAATTATTTTAATATAATCATTAAAAAAACTGAACATCATACCAGGCATACCTTGGAAAAACCATCAAAGAAATAAAAGCATTTTACAGAATTCAAAATCCCTAATTTACAGAATCTTAAAGATCCTTAATTAAACAGAAAACATACCAATGATTCATGTATAATAGGAAAAAGGGACATTCGTATGTTGAATCTTTAATAGGGTATCAGGAGCAGTGATAATGATGTATTCTTTCCATCCGGTGAATCCCCAAACTAGGTCACCTTTCTTGAAGTTTGAATGCCCAGATTCTACAACTTTAGCTACTCCATATCCTGTTATTAGTTGCAAGTGACAAAAGCTAAATGATAATTTGATCATCAAAAATATTTTCTAGAAGAAAGAAGAGAATTTATATGTTGGATTTGAAATGAAAGATATTGGACAACGTAAACCCTTCTTTTAAAATGCTTCATTGCAAGCCAATACACTAAGGAAGGTAAAGATTTGTAAGAAGATTGAGTTCTCTGATTCAATTGAAAATATTGAGAGCTCCAATTCAAATTTTAAACTTGAAATATAAAAATGATTGGGAAGAGACTGGATAACATGAAAAAGAGAGAAAGGACTATGAGAAACAGATATACATACCTTCTGCCTCCTGAGTCTTTCATTTTCCTCTTCCAAATGTGAGATTTTCTTCATCGACTGTCTTCTTGGTTAAATCCTTGGTGAATGTAAGGCTCAATTATCTAGGCAAAGATGAAGCAGAAGCAAGCTGGGTGAGTTTGGAGTAATCAGGGGAGGAGCCATTATTGATTCCTTGATTAGCTTCGGCACACCAAACATTCTTTAGAAACTCATCAAGGTTCATACTACTGAAAGGTTTCCCTAAATCGACTAATTGTTGCTGAACCTCATCTAAAGTTAGGTTATGCAGAGATCCTTGCATTGAGAATCCATTGAACACAGGTTTTCGTGTTCCACCGTTCGATCCCTTTGTTTGAGTCCCCATACACGGATCACCTGACTATATTACTAATCTCACAAATGAAACTCCAAATACCAATAATCAAAGTAGCAATTAGTAAACGCCTTTTTGTAATTAATCAAAAAAACCCTATATGAACTCCTAATCTGAAATGTTACGGAAAAAACCCTCAATTCAGACGAATCGGAAACAGAATACTAATCAGAGTTGCATCATGTCGAGTACCAATCTTTAGATTAACAAAAATAGGGGAAAATGAGAAAATCGGCGTTATTTTGAAACAACATTATAGAAGAAGAAGAAGAAGAAGAAGGACGAGAGTATCAAGGCGAGGTTTTAGGGTTTCTTTTGATCGATGAAGATTTTAGGAACTTCAAGTATGAAATTATCTATCTTTTACGCACAATGCTTTTAGGCTTTCTTTTGATTGAAGAGGATTTTACAACATACGAAGAAGAAGAAGGACGAGAGTATCAAGGCTTTTAGGGTTTCTTTTGATTGAAGAGGATTTTACAACATATGAAGAAGAAAAGGATGAGAGTATCAAGGCGGGATTTTTTTTTTTTTTGGATTTCATTCCCCCCTTTGTCAATTAAAAATTTGGAGAACGCGCGTTCATAAAGAAAAATATAAAGCGACAGTTTTAGACGACACGCTTTTTTATGATAGGTGCCCTCTGTGTTTTTAATTTTTTTTGTTGGACACTATTTTTGGGGCACGCACAAATGCGTGTCGACTACCCTTCAAATTTTACAAAACTAACATCACTTTTTAGGGCACACACGAATGCGCATCCTCTATCAGCGAGTGTCATTGTTTGCGCGTCATTAAAGAGTTTTTTTCTAGTAGTGCTCGCGTCTCACGAAATCCTCACAACCCCAAACCTTGATGTGTGCTAACGAGGGAACTTTCCTTATCGACAAATCATGAGGTGTTTTGGCAACCTTCTTAGTTGGGACTAGATTAAGGATATGGGCGGCAGTCTCTAAGGCATACCCCCAAAATGAGATAGGTAACGAAGCTCGACTCATCATAGAACAAACCATGTCCAACAAGCTTCGATTGCGCCTCTCAGCCACACCATTAAGCTGTAGTGTCCTAGGTGGCGTCAGTTGTGAAATAATTCCACATTCTTTAAGATAGTCTAGGAACTCGATACTAAGATACTCTCCATGTCGATCGGATCAGAGCATCTTTATCTTTCTGCTCTCCACTTCTTATTTAAATTCTTTTAACTTTTCAAAGGTTTTTGACTTATGCTTAATTAAGTAGATATAGCCATATCTATTATAATCATCAGTAAAAGTCACATAGAAGCGGTTAGCATCCCTTGTGCGGTTCTGAATGGTACACACACATCGGTGTGTATGAGATCCAACAAACTCTCACCCCTTTCACAAGTACTAATGAAGGGTGACTAGGTCATCTTTCTAAGCAAACAAGATCCGCAAGTGTCATCCAACTTTAAGTAGAATGACTCCAAGATTCCAGCCTTTTGGAGTTGATAGCTTCATTTTATTTACTTCTTTTTATAGTTTATT